TAAAAAATTTGGCTCTCAAAAGAAATTTCAATCGTTGTACTGTTGATATTTGGCTCTGTTGACTAATGAGTTTGCCGACCACTGGACACCATTCCTCAAACAAAGCAAAGGTGAATCTAAGATCAGTATCAGGGATAACATATAAATCCTATAAACAGTATCCTTTTATCTTAATTGTGCAATTCTGTTCAGTGTGTTGAAGAGTGCAAAATTGAAATCAGTAACAATTTAATATATTTCAACCTTTGTTTTTGTTCTTGTTTTGCTTAGACTCTACAGTGACAATGCTAATGATTGTTGATAAATGAGCAAAGCAGGAGAAAAAAGGAGCGCTGAATGTTGAGGAACCTGCGGAGTGAACCCATGTCTGGACCCCCAATGACGCCCTGTCTTTGGGGTCCCCAGGGGAAGCCTGTGCAGAGGTCCCAGGAGGCCCGTGTCTGGCTTTGCCCTCCTGTTGCCGGGTGCGCTGGCTCCCTCGCGGCCTGCCCTGCAGGAGGGAGCTGGCCCGCGGCCCCCTTGGCAGCACAGGCGCTCATTGAGCGTCCCCGAGGCCAGGCCCAGTGGGCGCCCGGCCGCCATCGTTCATCACAGGCCGCGGCTGCCTGCCCACGCGGCGGCTTTGAGGCTCGGCCAGCGCCCGGGGGGAACCGCGCGCGGCTCTAATTGGGCTTCGCCGGCGGGAGGCGCGGGCCCTGCGCTGCTTGTCTGGGCTCTGGCTGCTGCTTCACCCTCTCAAGGGGGACACGGGCTTCCTGCTCTGGCCGGCTCCCCGGGCCACAAGTTCACCCTCGTTCTTCAGACGGAGAAAGGGAAGCCCCGGGGGACTGGGCCCCTGCCCAAGGTCACGGCAAGGCCGAGCAAGGTTGCCAGGAGGAACCGCCAGGAAGCCAAGAGACACAGCGCCGCCCCGCACTCTGCTGGCCGCTGAGCTGCGTTCCCACAGGAAAGAAGCCCTCCCGGTCTCCCGGGGCGGCCGGGCCCCCCAAGCACCAGGCACAGGACCCCGGCTCTGGCGTTCCTGTGTCCATGTGAGAACTGTCTCCCTACCAAACCCACAAGACGTCAGAGGAGCGTGTGGCCCACCGAAGTAGAGGGCAGGCTCCCTCTGGGGGAGCCGGGGTGCCGCGACTGCTGGGTGCCTCAGTTTACCCTCCCGGAAAGTGGGAGGCTTTCAGAGGCACGGCGGCGGGACCAGGGGGGCCTTGTCTGGGAGGCAACGTGCCTTTAGTTGGTCAGACTCAGGGGGACGTTCAGGTCGGGGGGAAACTTAGTTCCTGGCTGGTCCTGGCCCTCTCGTGGCGTCAATCGTCTCTAGCAACCCCCCACGTGCGGGCACTTCCTTTAGCAAGTCCATGCTCCCCTTTTTTCCTTCTGCCACCTTCCCACCTTCTTACTGATTTTTAAATTTTACTTGAGAGAGAGAGAGGAAGGGAAGAGAGAGAGAGAGATTTGTTGTTCTGCTGATCTACGCGTTCATCGGTTGATTCTTGTATGTGCCCTGACGGGATCGAGCCCACAGCCTTGGCGGATCGGGTCGGTGCGCTAACCAGCTGGGAACCCAGCCAGGCCCACCTTCCTGCTAAACGGCCATTCCTGTGCTGAGCCTCCTGGGCCCACGCACTGTGCCAAGGAGCGTCCGCCGGGCGACGGCTGCTGCTCCCCTTCCAACCAGGACCAGCACGTGCAGGCCGCCGGGACCTCGACCGGAGCAGGGCCAGGTGAGGCGGGACGTGTGGCTACACCGGGCTCGGGAGAGAGTGGGGAGGCCGCCCGCCTGGGCTCGGGCCTGTTGCCGGGTGTTTTCCTTTGGCGGTTGTGGGGCGCCCTCGCTGGGCCCATCCTGGCCTGGCTTCTCACCTGTGGGCTGCCTGGGTCGGGGGACCTGGCCAGCGTTCTGACCCTGCCCTTCCCCGGTGTGACAGTCCCTGCGGGGGGCGAGGAGCCCTCTCCCGGCTGCACCCGTGGCCGGGATGTCTGTCCCCAGTCGCCAGCGGTCACAAGTGTCTCCACACACACGCCTTGGAAGTCTCTTCATTTCCTCTTTAAAATGTGCATTGACTCCTGGCTGGTATATGTGTGTTTATTGATGTCAGAGAGGAAGGGGGAGGGAGGGAGAGAAACATCAATGCTGAGAGAGAATCAAGGATCATCTGCCTCCTGCACGTCCCCCTCTGGGGATCGAGCCCGCAACCTGGGCCTGTGCCCTGACCGGGAATTGAACCCGGGACCCTTCAGTCCACAGGCTGACCGACACTATCCACTGAGCCACACCAGCCAGGGCCGAGGGTTGTTTTAAATGCCAAGGGCTGACTTGTACGGTGCGTACATGTTTGGATTTCTAACTTCTCCCCCAACTGAATATTCAAGTAAAACTGAAGCCGTTCGGCCCGTCTCCCTGGGCAGGTGCCCCTTTCGGACGCCCAGGCCCGGTGAGTCCCCATGTGGCGGTGTCCTGTGTGGCATGGCGGCTGCTCTCCCAGGTCCTCAGAGAACCACCCTCGTTCTGGGGGGCGTGCCCCCTTCTTCC